ATTTTAAATGGCATCTTTCCTGCTCATACAGTTTCCGACTTATTTTCCTTTTGTTGCTTATAGTTTTTGCTGTAGGTATTTTGATGTGCTATGATTTGATGGATAGTGTCCATAATTTTTTTGTTATTACTGTAAATTGTATGTTTTACTTTTTTCTGTGTAAATTTTTTGCCCTGAGTTCTAATTCCTCTGAAATTAATATTGCTATTCTTTATTTTTGTTTAAATTTATGTGATAAACAAAATAAGTAATGATTTTGGTACAGTGATACATGTGAATTATAGAAAGATACATACAGTACAGAAAAGTAAAGAGAAGAGAAAAAATTGCACTTAAAATACAACCCTAGAGAAATAACAGCCATTAAATTTTGTGAGAATCATTCTTGATTTTTCTCAATCCATATTTATAGATTGAAGATTAGGTATACAGGAGTTTTTAGATAAAGAGGACTATATTGAACATGTTCTTTTAATAAATAACTTTAGTTTTTGTGATATAATGGAACAGTAAGACACTGATGTGAAATTGAAGGAATTATTAAATCTCACATAATTATTTCTTCTCTATAAAAACCACTCTCTCTCTCTAAAGCTAAGAAAGAAATGGCATAAAAAACTTTAGAGATTTATGTCATTATGTTGTTTTTTTAAGCACTACATTTTGTCTTTAGTTGGTTTTGAACCTTGCTATGTATACTTTGGAAAATAGTACACATGTTCAACCATTTTAACTCTCATGTTGCATCTCAAGATTTGTAACATTTCTCTCCTCGTGTAACCACAGTGCCCAAAGATGTTTAAGCTTAGTTCTGTATATTACCTCAGTTCTCATCGCTAAACTTTTTACTCTTTTTTTTTTTAAACTTTGTGCTCTTGATCTATTCATTCCTGTACTTTTATTTTGATTCATCTCAAGGTCCAAGTTTTACCAGGCCTTACCTGTTGCTGGAGCATGCTTTCTCCCCTTTGGCATCAGATTTAGCCATGTGACTTATTTTGGCCTGTGGAATGAGAATGAAAGTGACATATGCCATGTCCTGGCAAATGTTTTAAAAGAGTCATTGCTTGATTTACCTTTGATTTTCGCCCTCTCTCACTATAGTAGTGTATTCCTAATACAGTCTGCTGCTTTAGTTTGGATCTTAGAATAGAGGAAAGCCACATGTAATGTGAGCAAGCAATAAATCTTTGTTTTTGTAAGCCCTCAAGATTTTTTTTTTATTTTTTAATTTTTTTAATTTTTTTTTAATTTTTTTTTTTAAAGATTTTTATTTTTTCCTTTTTGTCCCCAAAGCCCCCCAGTACATAGTTGTGTATTCTTTGTTGTGGGTTCTTCTAGTTGTGGCATGTGGGACGCTGCCTCAACGTGGTCTGATGAGCAGTGCCATGTCCGCGCCCAGGATTCGAACCAACGAAACACTGGGCCGCCCGCAGCGGAGCGCGCGAACTTAACCACTCGGCCACGGGGCCAGCCCCAGCCCTCAAGATTTTTTTAACTGAAGAATAACCTAGGGAAGCTGTCTGAAACCCTCTGTCAGTCTTTGCTATCAAACTTAATCTCTACAGGGATATTCCTAATTTATCCCATGGCCCATTCAATCCCTTAGATAGCGTCAATGTAACTGAAAGGTCATTGGATTTATCCTTCAGCAATACAATATTTTTAACAGAGCTTAACATTCTTCTTGAGATGGGAAGAAGCATTCTTGCTTCTCAGCATCCTCTCAGTTCAATCTATGCTTTCCTTTATTCTTTTTCATCGAGAGGAACTTCTCAAGTTTGAACCTATCAATTTTATTTTCCATTGCTTTGATTTTCTTTATAACTGCTTTCATCATGAATTTTAATGGTATTATGGCATCTTTTTTTCTTTTTAACAATGCTTCTTTGTGTTATCCTTTTCATTTCATCCATTCAACAACTGTCTTGTCCGATATATCCTAGAAAACAGTCTGTGTGAAGGATTAACTTCTGAGTATTTACTTAGGAGATTCAATTCCAGGACAAAGCGACTGGAAGAAGAAGAAGAAGAAGAATCAGAGGCAGGAAAGCATAAAAAGTAATTCAAGAAAATGTATTATTGTACTGGCCACTGCTTCATGATGAGCCATGAAAGAGATGGCAGGTGCACTGAACTAGCCACCCAGGTTGATTCTGGACAAGTTGTAGAGAGAAACCATGCCCTAGAGCAATCCATCAGATGGAAAAAGAAAAAAAATTTGTCTGTCTGGTTTCTTCTTGTGTTTTGTCTACCATTGGTCAAAGTTTACTGCTTATGCCATGCCTGTGTTGTAGCATTTTATCCTAATCTGGAAGTGGTACAAGGAGGCCAACGTGCTAGGCATGCAACTGGTTGACCTCAAGTGGTAGAGCCACATAAGGTGTATGAATTTCATAGGCTGAGGTGGTAGTTAATAGGCTAAGGCAGAGCAAGGTACTGAGTGACTAGGAAGGAGGTGAGGCTGAATCTGAAGAGGTGCATAAGGTGTGTCTAATACAACAACAAATATTTAATAAGGGACAGGAACTGTCCTAGGTGCTTTTTCTGTAGCAGTGAACAAAAAAGTCCCTGTCTTCACAGAGATTTTATTAAGATCATCTCCACATCTTGGTTTTCTGTTGATAATTCTGAGAGGCGTGATGGTTTCCTTTTGATACTTTTCTAGACTTTCCTTCAGTAACTCCTACTCAGAGGTATACTTTTCCTCTGGATATGCACAATAAAATTTTTTTATTAATTCTAAGTGTTTCCCCTTTTAATAAGTCCTATTTGTTTTTCTTTACTGTTTTTCAAATGAGGAAAGATCTAGACTAATTCAGTGTTTTCCACTGATCCAGTTGTGTGAGGTTTGTAAGCCTTGTTTGTTGCTTACTTTCTTGCTGATTGAATTCCACATTTCATATTCGCAACACTGGTGTACAACTCATTCCATCTAGTTTCAGAGGGTGGTGTGGGGAGACACAGAGAAAGAAACACATCTATATAGTGTAAGATTATGTTTCCATTTCACTTACTGAGAGTATGCTCGGAAAATAGCACAACATGACAGACAAGAACATGCTCTTCCCTTAGTTGATTTTTAGTCCTCAAGTGTCTCAGAGTATGAACATCTCCCTACTCTTGAGTGTGTTTCTTCTGATTAAAGATGCATTTATTTTGTTCTACGTGACCCTTAAAAGCAAGCCAACTACTGATTCTGGACCTCTCTTTAAGAAATAGCAAACGTCTAGCATTGGAGGAGAAATAAATTTGTTATGTTTTACATTGTATTGATAGATGGTATGTTTTATCTTCATCATGTTCCCTTCCTAAATGCAACATTTACTTAGGTCTCCTAACATATGTCTTGACTACATACCCTGATATCTATTGCCTATCTTCTCTGATAATTCTTGCTAATGTTATTCTTGAAAAATGGCAATACTCAGCAAGCATTATTACTGTCGGTCTCTTCTCCCCTCTTCTGCTGAGTATTATATTACCTGGACACATTGTGCCATTATTGATTCTCTTCTCTTCCCTCCCCCAGTTTTGGACTATTATTTTCTGCAACTTTCAGTTTTTTAGATAGTTTCAGAAAGATGGTACTATAGTCTGAAAGTTAGTGTTTACCCAAAATTCATATGTTGAAATCCTAATGCCTAATGCGATGGCATTAGGAGGTGGGGCCTTTGGGAGGTGCTTAGGTCATGACGGTAGAACCCTCATGAATGGGATTAGTGTTTTTCTGAAAGAGACCTCCGAGAGCTCCCTTGTGCCTCCTGCCATGTGAGGACACAACAAGATGTCTATGACCCCGAAGAGGGCCCTCTCTAGACTGTGCTGGCACTCTGATCTCTGACTTGTGGCCTCCAGAACTATGAGAAATAAATTTCTGTTGTTTGTAAATTACCCAGTCTATGGTATTTTGTTATAGCAGCCTGGAACATATACATACAGATGGTGTATGTACATGTATCTGCGTGGATGCAGGGCTTGTCGTTGGAGAACATTAATATTCTAAATCTCTGAAAAGCGGAGCTCATTTCTTCCATATTAATATTCATCCGTCTTCGACAACTGTCTGAATATCTCTTTTGTGCCTTCTTTAAGATTTATCTAATATGAATGAATCACCAGTTTGAGCTTACAGATAAAGAAAAAGTTCCATTAAAATATAGTCTCCAAAATATACACTATAAAGTATATTTCTGTGAAATACATATCTATAAATATTTTTCTCTTCAAATTGAATATACGGTACTTTCCAGTTTTATTTGAACTGTGTCACGCAGGATTTACTACCACAGAAATCTGGAAACCTGTATCATAGAGGTGTGGTTTTTCTGGACCTTTCGTGCCGTCATTACTACGACCATCAGTTCATTTGTCCTCCTGCTTACAGTTCCACCCTGGTGGGTTGGAAGGACAGGTTTCACCTGTGTTTCTCTTCTTCTGACTTTTTTGCCTCATCATTTCCTTCAAGCTGAATTAGAGGAGTCACAGGAATCCAAGCCCAGGTCCTTGAGGTTGCAAACTAGTGGTGCTTTAAGGAACTTTGGTTTGAAAACTTAATTTGCCTTTTGGGATTCTTTTTAATACATTTAGATTTCTGTATAAAATAAAATGAAAGATTGAATTACCCTGTATTCAAAACTGTGTGACAACTATTGTTGGCATCAGTACTTATCAATTCTTGGAAGTGAAGTGTAACCTAATTTCAATAAGAAGGTGGTACTATGTCTGTATATCCAGACATTTTATTACTATCAGGCTGTAAAAGAAAATTGATGAGTATTTGGCTTTGAAAGTCAGAGTAGTTCTATCAATACTTTCTAGGTGTATGTGATAAATATTAAATACTTTCTATGTTATTTATTTTATTAATATGTTTGCCTGCAGTAAAAAATTGTAGATGAAAAAATTGGAAGCTGATCTGTAACCTTAGATGAACACAATTATTTTACTGAGATGATCTTTATTCATGCTCCTCTCTATTTATTGCTTGCTTTGCACAGGAAGGAGTTGCAGGAGCTGCAGAATCTTTACAAACAGAACAGTGCACATACAGCACAGCAAGCAGAGCTGATCCAGCAGCTTCAGGTTCTGAATATGGACACACAGAAAGTACTGAGGAATCAGGAAGATGTTCACATAGCTGAAAGTATATCATATCAAAAAGTATGCTTTTATTCTGTCATAAAAATGTAAATTTATATGTATGAACTTATAAAAATACATAGAATTCAAATTTTTTCAAATTTCAACATTTCTTTATTAGTCCCTTTTATATATGTTTCTTCAAAATTAAAATGAAATATGATTCCATTTGGTAATATTTAAAATTTTTTGTTTTCTTTATGGCTATTAAAGCTGAAACATTTAAAATATAGATGCAATTTTATTCTGTAGGATATTGTTTTTATAAATTGGTGTTTTGATATCTAGTGTGAAACATACTAGGACTGTAGCCCCTCAAACCAAAAAGGATTTGGGGAATGGAATTTCTCAGCCTTCTATTACAAGAAATTATTAATCAAGTGTGATTCTAGTTTATGACCTAAAGCAGTCTTTCATTATAGAATCTGTACATTATTTTATTGGCAAATCTGCACAAACACAAATGAGTATGCTGATGAGGTCTTCAAAATCAATATTTTCCACAGATTTTTCTCTCTTTACTTTGTGTGTTTCTTTTAAGTGGTCATTTTACCTTACAGTTGTTATAGGAGCCCCTCAAGAAGACTTACCCAGCTATTTAGGTATGCTGACTGACTCAGCAGCAATAATTATAGCTACTAATTAAAAAAACCCCTTTATTGGTTTCTTTATGTTTTGTATAACATGCTAAGTTATTTACAGAAATAATTTAGTTTCTATATAGGTCAACCCCATGAGATTGATGTTATTTCCTCTTAATAGTTGAGGCAGCCAAGACATACAGAGGTTAAATAGTGCAATCTATGTTATTTGGGGATTTTTTCTGTTTAAACTTAACTCTTCTAAAAAAGCACCATGAAAATCCAATCTCTATAATTAACATGAAGTAAATAACTATTAAACTTTAAGCACGTATTTTAAAATGCTGCTTTGGAACAGCGGTTTTCAGTCTAGTGTGTGTTCCCTTCGAGCTTCCCTCGGGAGGCGGGTGATGGCAAGCAGAGGACAGCCCCGTACTCTCCACTTGGGATAGAGCAACTCCACCTTTTTGTTTGTTTTGGTGGGATTGCCCATTATGCTTTTGTTTTAAACCAGGCTCCATTGCTAAAATGACTGGAAAAATTGGACCTTGTTAGTTAGTAGCCTTGATTTTTTTCCTTTTTCACTTGTATATGTAACTGGAACGTTTCTCTCTTAATTTTTGCTTAGAAGTCCCCTACCCATGGCAGTTTACATTCAGATGTGTGTTTAGGGCTGCTTGTTATTGAAGTTCTTAACCCTTTTCTCTCACGTGCTAATGCTTCTTTTTCTGTTTCTCCTCTCAGTCAGCAAGAAAGAACTTGATAAGGAGGAAGAAAAAGGCAGTATTTACTTTGCTATTTCCTTTTTCAATCTTGTGTTCTAAGATTCCTTTTTTAGTCTTGCTTAACTTAAAATTTAAGACAAAATGTTTCAGCCTTAATTCTACTTTTTGGTTGATTCTCCTGCAGCCTCTGCAGAAAGCAACCATCTTTTTTATAACATATCTGAGAACTTTATAAATTCGATATAATTTCAAACAATGGAATACTTTAACATTTTTATTTAAAATCATTATTACCAAAGTAATACATACTTGTGATAAATTTTCAAATAATACGGAAGTGTATGAAACAAAACATAAAGTCCTCTGTCCCCTACCTGCAGCCCTTACCCCAGAAATAACCACTCTTAATATGAGAGTATATCCTAGAGTTCCTCTAGAAGAAAACATTTTAAAATTATTTTCTCCTTTTTGATTATATGAAAATTACATGAATACATTATGTAAAAGATTGAAATAATATAGAAGTACTAAGAGTGCTAGTCTAACAGATTTGAGTTCCTGTCCACTCACGCCAGTTCATTTCATTCCCTGCCCCAGGGATAATCATCTGAGTAGTCATTCCAGACCTTTTCCATGCATTAGATACTGTGTGTGTGTATCTCTGTGTGTATGTGTGTGTGTACATACACAGATAGCACAAATTAGGCATCTTACAATTTTAATATTAATGTATGCTCTGCTTACTGTTCTTTAACTTGTTTTCATGTAATATGTCCTGGATATATTTCCATGACAGAGCATACAGCTCTTGCTCTCCTCTCCCTCCTCCTCGTCCTCCAACAGGTTTTACCACAATATAACATGATGACTATTGAGATCTCTCTCCCCAACTTTTTGTTATTATAAACTTGCCTACAAAAAGACGTGTTCCCCATTTCTTCTACAGCATCAGTCTCCCTAGTGGATCATTCCTAACCACATATAAAAATGCTGTTATGTCTGATCTGAGAGGGAGACCAAAACAAATAAACAACAACAAATGCCTGTATTCACCCCACCATGTTCCTTTCCTTCTCTTCCTCCCCTTCCTTTTCCATTTCCAGCAGTATTCCTTGAAAAAATTGTCTTAACTTGTCTCAAAGTTCTCTTCTCCCATCCTCTTTCGTACCTACAATAAAGTTTTTGCCCCTTTTACTCCACTAAAGTGTCTCTTCTCGGAATCCCTCGTGACCCCCACGTCGCTCAATTCAGTGCTCATATAACAATCCTCATCTTACATTACTTATCAGCAACAGTTCTCACAGTTGATGACTCTTTGTCCCTTGAAACACCTTTTGTTCCCCCTCCTGGCTTGCAGCACACCACAGTTGTGTGATTTTCTTCCTTCAGTTTCCAGCTATTCCTTTTCCATTTCTTTCTGATCTTTCATAGTCTCCCTGTCCTCTAAATATTAAAATGTCCCAGGCTAAAATCTTAGGACCTTTTTTTCTCTTTGTTTAAATTCACACCTTAGGTGATTTTATCCATTCACCTAGGCTTTCAAAATCATCCTGTCCTTTTGCTGATCACTCCCAAATTTGATTATTTACTCTGAATTTCTTCCCTGAACTCTAGAAAAAGAGTATATCTAATTGCCTACTTAACATCTTTTAACTTGGATATCTAATAAGCATCTCAAACTTCACATGTTCAAAACCAAGCTGTTGTCTGTTCTGCCTTCAGCACATGTCTGGAATTCTACCACTTCCCACCACCCCTGCTGTCACCATTCTGTCCAGACCACTATCATGTATTACCTATCTTATTGCAGTAGTTTCCCACTTTGTTTCTTTGCTCCTGATCTTACCCCTTTTGAGTCCATTCTCAGTACAGATGCCAGGATGTTCTTGCTAAAACTTAGTAAGTCAAATCAAGTCACTCCCCTCTTCAATTCCCTCTGTTGATTTCCTGTCTCATTAAAAGTAAAAGCCTAAGTTCTTACTACAACCTGTGAGACCTTACATGATCTGGCTCCTCAGTACCTCTCAGATCTCATTTTTGCCTCCTCTTCCCCTTGATCTCTCCACTTCAGCCACACTTAACTTTGTTTTTTCCCTTGAACGTGCCAGGTAGTCTTCAACCTCAAAGCTCTTCCTCCAGGTATCTGCATAGATAACCTTTTTACTGCCTTTATTCTTACCTCTTACAGCTTAAAATCTAGTTGATAATAGACATTAAATAGGAGAAGTCGCAATGATGTGTTTTGTAGTAGTAGAAGTAGAGGGAAATATGTGAACGTAGCTGGAGTCTGCTCCTAGGTTAGGAATAAAAAAGGCTGTCCTGATGAAATGATATCAGTGATGTTTATTCTGAGAAGATAAGAAGACATCAATGAGACGAAGAAGTTCCTTGTAACTCTTCTATGTGAACTCTAGCTCAAGTCGTAAATTCTGTAGTCAGTATCTACTAAATTTGGAGAGGTAGAGCGTATACACTCTTATTTGGAGAACTTATGATAACCTGAACTTTGATCAGGGGTACTTTTTGAAACCTCACACACCTTCCTTTGGGATTATGACTGTCCCCTCCAAGAATCATTATAGATGATGAGAGATGTGATGGGAATATGTTGTGCTTATGAATAGTATGGAGGCAGAAAAAAATAAAGAGCAAACTGAGATCTACCTTTTTAAAGAACTGGCTTACTTTCCCTTGTGTTACGTGAATTTTTTGTCCTGTCTTTTTTTCCAGTTTGAATTCCCTTTTCTTTTTGTTTGTTCCTCAAAAGTTACTTCTCAAGGGTTGGGTGGGGGAAACTTTACTGATTTTTAACTTGTTACTCATTCTGAAATTGTAGTTCTCACTGTATTATTTTAATTTCGAAGTTATTTTAGATCCTTGTAGTTGTTCTAAGGTTTTCATTAGTATACTCAACTAGACTTAATTAAAAAATCCCTGATCATTTATTTATATTTTATAAATTCTGCTCGCAGTTAGTAGACATTGCAGTTAATTTTTTGTTAGTAGTCTCTGTGTACATAGTTATCGATAAAAACACAGAAGAAAAACTTGTAATTCCATCTCCCAGAGACAAATACTGTTAACATTTTAAATATTTCCTTGCAGTTTTTTAAAATGTATTTTAACATATCTGCAAATATGCTAATATCTTTCACTTCACATTATATTAAAACAATATCATGACATATAACTATTTTGGAAATAATAATATAGTTTATTTAACCATTTTTCCAGTGTTGATCATATATGCTGTTTAAATTTTTCACTATTGTAAATAAAGCTACAATGAACATCTCTTTCTTGTTTTCAGGTTCAGACTATTAGTATTCATTAGAGAATATTGAATATGTACACACTCACAGACAGTCACATCCAGGAAGCCGTTCCTTTTATGAAAAAACCTAGTAACATCATACTAATGGTGTGTAGTTCACTCTTAATTAGTTCGTACATAAAGATAGTCTTGTTTAAGTTATTACATAGTAAGAATGCACAGGGGATCATGGAGTTTGAAGGGGACCTGCATACCACATGCAAAATGATCAATAAATGTTAAATTATTGAACCTTAACGAGTTGTGTACAATGATATCCCACTTTGGATAATGCAATTTAAAAATTGTACATGTTTATTTGAATTCTCAGAGTATTTTAAAACTTTACAGGCATGTAGTTCTATCTTAATTTATAGATTATTCAATTCCGTTTAATTTTTA